ATAATTTGTTATTACTTTAACGTTCAGAATTTGTTGAATGCATCTGCTCGTGATACCCGACGAATAATGTTAAAAAAGTAATATGTAATATATAACTAATAAGAACAAAATTAAAAAAAATACATTTTACTTAAAATAATAGACTTTTCTAGAGGATAGAATGATGCACTTAATCTTATCTTTTTTTTCTCTCTCCTTCTTTATTACACATCACTTAGCATTACGAACATAAAACGATTGTTATCAGGCAAAACAAAAATAAATGAACAAAACGACCTGTTGTCGTAATCTCAAGCTTCCGCAGCTTCCGCAACAATATCACCTGGCGCTTATTATTTTGGCTTCTTTTTTTTTCAACCGTTTATTTGTTCCTTCCCTTTTTTTCTGTTTTTTTAGCCTTAGACGAAAAAGATAAGCATGTGAGTGCCACCACCCACAACAACAACAACACGACCACCACCACTACCACTACTTCTACTACTTCTACTTCTAATTCTACTACTACCTCCAATACTACTGCTACTACTACTACTACTACTACTACTACTACTACTACTACTACCACAAACAACCACGCGAAAGTTAAACTGAAATTTCCCAAGAGCACGCTGAACCGACCACAAGCGTTGTACAGTCAAAGAATAGTGATAGGCTCGGAAGAGCTAGTTGGTCGTGATATCGATAACGTCGTCAGGCAACATATAAACGCCCTTGAAAAGAGTCCCAAGGTCGTCAGGTCTACCGCATTGATAATCAAGACCTCCAAGGTACCATCCTTTAAACCATCCTTGTCTACATTAGTATCCTACTCCTCTTCCTCCTCATTGTCGTCGCCAACAGCAACCATTATTACTAATACTAATGCAACTACTTCAACCACGATCCCAACATCGACAACAACACTGACATCAAAGAAACGTGTCTTCTTAGCTAACGGAAACGTTTCAATGACCAACTCGGAAAGCAATGTTGATGTTCTCGACAATACACTCGAACCAACTCGAGACGATTCGTGGCAGGTAAGAAAGGTTCATCAACACCACCACCATCAACACCACCACCAACAACAACAACAACAACACCACAACTACTACTACTACTACAATAACAACGAGACGACACTTCAAGAAGACTCGACGACTACAATGGGAACGATGTCAAAAAACTCGAAAGCTTCTTCGCAAGCTACTACTACCAACGGTTCTGTTTACTACGATCATCATCGGCTAACTTCACAGCATGACGATAGAAACGGAATCGATTCTTTTTTAAATTCAGGTAAGATCTCGGCCCTATGGATCCATCTATACAGGATCATCCTGGGATTCTTTGTCCTTTTTATTCTCACATTATTCCCTTTCTATTTACTTTCTTTTTATCCTCTTCATCTATTTCTCCCTCTTTTTCTTTCTCTTTCTATATACCTAATCTATTTGATATTTCCAATGCGCTATTTGATTTAATATGCGTTCGAGCGTTTAAATATTTATTTATAATATATCTATATATTTATATCTATACACATTACATATATGGTATATATATAGTTCTTTTTCTTTTTCCATTTACTTTTAAATTACTTTCTGTTTCGCATATTATTATTGCGGTGAAGCATGGGCCTGCGCCTGTTAACGATAAGTCATCATGTAGCCTTTGATGTCGAGCCTGTTCTTGAACGAACCGTCGTGAGAAAAGATTCTTGTTTCGATCAAAACATCGATTTTACCAGAATCTTTTCAATTTGTAGGATCTAGAAACTCTAACCGTTATCCCTCGTTTATCCTCCAAGTATATTGGCTTACTCGCAAAATTGTTCGTATCGATTTAAAAAAATCAACTGATATATAAATTGCTTTTGAATTTTTGTTGGTAAGGCGGGCTTCGGCACTTACTTTTCGGGCCAATCTGATAGCTTGAAATAATAGAAAAGAGAAGAAAAAATATGATTGAACTTTGATGATGAACGAGAATAACAATGAACGATTCGAGTAACCTAAAAATGATAAATCTAATTAATCATTGACTAAATCTATTGTTACAGTCGGTCAACACGAGGGCGAGGTGAACGATTATTACTTCAGAGACTCCTTCGATCATTCGTCATCGGAGAGTCAGTTATTGGACGCATCCGGTAAACCACATAGTCGATCGGTAACCCCGGTACCAAAAATGCAAAAGCTTCAAAATTCGAAGCTTTCTTTGCAACAGAAGCATCAACACCAACAACAGTCGCATCTGGCGCGTAGATTTGAAGGAAAGTTAAGGCATAGGAGTATGCGAATTTTACGACGCTTCGTTCCGGCCTTCATGCTTGTCCTAACCGCGTTTTTCATCAGTTTGATACTGATATTCGAAACGGATGCTACGATATTTAACAGCCTGCGTAAAACTCCAGAAATGGTGGCTTTAAGGAACCAATATTATGTCCCCTTAAAGGAATTCCTCAGGACCAAGTTCGGCCTATTTTGATGCGACCCAATCATGATGACCACTTCAAGGTCGTCTTCTTTCGTCGCTAATTAGCTCTCTTCAGTGCCAAGTCGAAGATTCCGAGTCATCGAGTATACCGTGCTTGTGTCGGGATGATCACGATTATCGTTAATTATCATGATTATATGATAATAAGAATGATAATGATTATTATAATGATGATGACGATGACGATGACGATGATGATGATGACGACAATGACGACATTGATAATTATGATGATGATAATGATGACGATAATAGGGAAGGAACGTGTCGTTTCTATTTCTCTCTCTATCTCTTTCTCTCTCTCTCTCTCTCTCTCTCTCTCTCTCTCTCTTACTCTCTCTCTTACTCTCTCTCTCTCTCTCTTTTTTTCTTCTTTTCTTACATACACTCTTAAAAGTTATTAATTTTGTATAAGTTGTTATTTTATCATTGATAAAAAAATACAATCGAGAAGATCGATCTCTTATATATCTTTTTATTATACTAATACATTTATACAGAGTAATTAAGGATAAGCAAAAATTGTGTAAAACAAAGTTGCCTGTACCTTTGAGAAACGAATCACATTTTTATGAAAAAACAAAATAAATATCTAATAATAATGATATTATAATAGTAATATTAATAATAATAATAATAATAATAATAATAATAATAATAAAAATAATAATGAAAAAAAGAGAATGAGAGACTCGGTTGTGATGCTTGTTAATTATCGATTAAATAAATGAATATAATATATGTTATCATTTTTAAGAATCTCTTCGAAATATTGATGACAATCTGATCCAAAAAGTTTAAACAAAATCAATATAAATATATTCAATTAAATTATCAGCTTAGAGCAGGGTTTTTCAACCTTTATTTTTTTTTACCATATTACTATGACCCAAATGTTTAAAATCTAAAAATTTGGAAGTGCATAGTTATAGGCTGAAGTGTCACTGTTTTTATTATTTTTATTATATTTTTCTAAATTTTATTATATATTTATAAATTTTCGTTAATTTGTTAAAAACATTTAACGAATAGTTTTTACAAATCCTTGACAAATTTATGAATTTTTTTTCTTGCTTTTGTCTAAGGTAGGCCAAATTCAAAATATAACATAACCTAAAAATAGTAAAGAGTCCGATTTATTGGTTGAGAAACACTGTTTTAGAGGATTGTGTTACTAAAGGGGTGGATAATTGATATAACCGTGTTCTGTTCATTATTTGCTCCGCGGTAAAATGAAATACAAGCAATATTATTTTCATGCGGTTTTCGTTTATCTTTATTTGTTGAATAATCCTTTTGGAGTGCTATCTAATTAAGAAAATTTTTCAAATCTAAAACTGAGTACCGCAGATGTCTGTTGTAATATTTAAATGGATATTTAAAAAATATTGGAAATATTACTTTTCTGTAACATGTTTATAATCAATTATTGTTTAAATTAAATTATACAAACAAAATTAATTGTTAATGAAAAACATTGAGTGATTGATTACTGTTTATTAAGGATTTAAAAAAGCTGCCGGTACTCAGAAACGTTTCGTATAATGTTCAAAAATCTAAGCCCGAGTACTGCAGGGTTCTATTTAAATGCGAATGACGGAAAATCAAAAATATTGCTGCTTTATTGCGTGCTTATAATCATTTGTTATTTATATTTGATATTATATATTATAATGATTGGTTATTGTTAATTATTAAGGTACTCAGTAAACGCTCCATAAAATATTCCAAAAAACTAAACCCGAATATATCATTGGGTTATATTTAAATGTGAATGATAGAAAATCAAAAATATTGCTTTATTACAACATAGTATAATTATCTGTTGTTTAACAATAATTAATCAAAAAATATTAATTATTCCATGTGTAAAAAGAAAACATGAATGGTTACCAAAAACTAACAAATTTCAAACCTGACCGGTTCTCAGGTAACAATTTGTGGAACCCTTTTGCATTCCACAATGCATATGCAAACGCAATAAAGTATAATTATATTACAAGCTTAACCGAAGTGCAAAGGGTTAAATGACGTATATAAGAAAAATACCGGATACCAATCGCAAAAGTGTTTAAGTAATGCTAGTAGGAAGGAGTGGGGGGAAGTAGTAGCGGTGGTGGGAGGTGGATTTGAATAATAAAAGTTATGTAGCTCGCAATAAGATGGATAAAGTTACCTCCACTACTGTTCTAATAGAATCCTATGGGAAAATATAATTTTAGTTTGATGACTTTCAACGAGTCGAAAGAGAAATTGTTTGATGGAAGTTGTTTGAAAAATTATGCGAGGTTAAAAAATCTATTGAAACGAACGAGGAACGATCGAGGAACGATCGAGGAAGAAAGTTCGATTTCATTTTGTTTCGTCCTTATTTTCTTTCTTTTTTTTACGCCTTTTTACTTAAACAATTATACAAACATATTTACGCAAACCTTATTTAATAGGTATCATATATTTATACATCGCTTCTCTACCATACTTTTTGCTACATACACATATATACATATATAAAAGTATTTATTTACATATTTGAAATATTTGAAAAACACATTGACACTAAAAGTTCCATTGACGCATATATATATTACATACTCACACCTACTCATACATTCGAAATTATTGAATCTGATTTGTGGATCATAAGATGTATGTATTCATATATGTATAATACATATATAATAATACAAGTATTCTTTTACCATATGTAAAGTACTAGAAGCAAACAAATTCACACTAAACACATATATTTCATACATATAATTCACATTAATGCATTCTAATCTATTTTACATATTTTTCATGTTATTTTACTACATACACATACATATATTAATACATACATGTCCTTACTTACATTTTCACTGAAATATTTTAATGTGTCAACCTAAACGTAACCACACATACACATGTATTACATTCCACAATTTTCTTCATGACTCCCCTAAACTTACACATATGAAAATATATTCACGTACATGCGTATAATATACTCGTACGTGTGCGCGCGCGTGTATATAGAGACAAAGTATTTTTCTCGTTTTAAAATTTCCATCATGTTTCTTCTTCAATGCATACACATATACAATTAATACGTAGGGATCGTATTTATCCGATCCGAAATTTGAGCATGATGGGTATGAAACTCAAATCTCTTTCTCTTTCTTTCCTTTTGTCTCAAATCGAGGACGAAACAGAGAGTTGCTTGTAAGTGAAATTTAATCTTTCAAAATGAAACTTGTTGGAAATTACGTTATTTTTCTTATATTTTTAAGAAAACTCAAAGATAAATATTACGAATAGAAATTAAAAGAAAAACAATTATGATTAATTATACATATAATAATATAATAACTAATATA